CGGTCCATTGTGTCAATTCTATTGTAATCCTAATTGTTTAACATGTAAGAGTGCAACAAGTTGTTTGACATGTAAGAATTCTATAACATCCTCTCCACCACCAACATGTGCACCTAAATGTACCAATTGTGCGAATGGTCAATGTATTGACGGTGTTTGTGTTTGTAACTCTGGTTATGGAGGCGTTAATTGTTCCTCAGTTATTTGTCCAGAAAATTGCCTTAAATGTTCAACACCATATTTGTGTTCATCATGTTTACCAAGAACATTTGGTGCTACTTGTTCTTTTACATGCATTCCTAATTGTTTGACTTGTTCAGATGATAAGACTTGCACAAAATGTGATGCTGGTTTTACTGGACAAACTTGCTCAACTGGTCCAAATTATTTTAGATCTACAATTACAACTACCGCTGGAATTGATGGAGTCTTACCATATCGTATTAGATATTTTGAATCAAATGGCTTTTTCAGCATTGGAAATAGAAGAGATGTTATATTCGGCTTTACGCTTCCAACACAGTCTGCAGCTGCAAGTAGTACATTACTTTTCAATAATGCTACATTTGCACCTTTTACAAGTCTATCTAGTTCCTCTACATTATTCATGGCAACAACATCTGTTCCAGGTATTTTAATAATTACTCCACAAAGTCCTTATGTTTCATTCCCTATTTCTCCAACAATGATATACAATACTGGTATTAATGAGACATTTATTGATGTTTATACAAATAATTACTTTTCCTTTTTTTTGACTAAAGAAGGAAATGTTAGATCTTTTGGTGAATTATCTGTTGCTGGATGTTGTCCAAGTGGATTTTTTGGAGTTTACAAAACCAACTTTACAAAATTAGCTATTCCACACAAAATTTCATACCTTTCTTGCCATTCTCGATATTTATGTTTCGCTTACAGTAGAGAATCAAGAAGATTATATGGTTGGGGTCCAATTTCTGATAGTTACTACGGTACAAATACTGGCCTTTGCCAATATTCACCACTGGAATTAGATATTACTACTTTTGGAAGTGAAATTCTCTTGTCCATTACTTTTGCACAATATTTCGTATTGTATCTAATGGAGAGTGGAAAAATATTTTACACAGGTTACTGGGGGTCATTACTACCAAGAGTTTCCTATCCAACACTCTTATCTACATCATTTATTGGAACATCTGAGAGAATCACTAGAATAACATTCATACAAAATTATAACTCTCTTTTGTTCACAGCATATAATGGTAATAATTACATTCTAGGAGATTTCTATAAATTTCCATATCCAGGAACAAATTCACCTACTACAGGTACGATATGGGGAGGTGGTGGTGGAAAGCAAGTTATTGGAAATATTATTTATTCACCAACCATGTGTAATGGATTATTTGATTCAGATCCTAATGTATGTAGTGGAAATGGAATTTGTGAAGAGATGGATATGTGTTATTGTAAAACAGGTTATGCAGGAATTAATTGTGAAGTTCCAATTTGTGGTGGAAAGAGAGCTGATGTTGCTAGTGTATGTTCTGGTATTGGTTCATGTCTCTCACCTAATAATTGTTCATGTCCAAATGGATATAATGGTACTAATTGTGAGATTAGTTCAGTTTCTAATTGTCTTCCATCTGCATCTAATTGTCAATCATGTAAGAGTGGATTTTATGATACTTCTAAATTATGTAGACTCAAATGTTTAGTTAATTGTGAAGTATGTTCATCAAGTGAAACATGTAATAAGTGTTTAGATGGTTTGAAAGGTCAATATTGTAATGAGAAAGTTTGTAAAGTTTCCAATTGTGCAACCTGTTCAACAAGTACAGGTGATTGTTTAGAATGTAATGAAGGATATTATGGAAGTTATTGTAATATAACATGCCCATCTAATTGCAAATCATGTTCATCAGAGGTATCATGTTCAACATGTAGATCTGGATGGACAGGTCCAACATGTCAAATTCCAGTTTGTAATGAGAATTGCATTACATGTTCATCTCCAAATCAATGTTCTAAATGTTTTAATGGATTATATGGTTCAGATTGTAGTAATACTTGTCCATCTACATGTGAAAGTTGTATCAATTCCACATCTTGTCTCACATGTCCTCCATATTCAAGTGGTTCAATGTGTGAAATTCAGACGGAGAATTGTCTTTCGTTTATTAATTCTCCGCCAAAGGTTTCAGTTACAAATTTAGGATCTTCAAAGATTATGTATACCATTTCAGTTTCTAATATTCTTTCAAGATCTACAAACATGACAAGATTATCATTCTCTGAAATTTCTACTTGTGAAAGAAATGTTACTGATCTTGTCACAAATTCTACAAGTCAATTGACATGTGAAACTCAATATTCTATTTCTACTTCTATTTCTGATTTGATTTCTGATTCAAGAGTCACTCAACAATTAGATTCTTCTGGAGTTGTTCTTACCTTGACAGTTCCAATTTACATTAGTTTAATTTCTAATAATAATTATTGTCAAAATTACAATTACA